CTAGCCGAGCCGTCAGTGTAGATATTGTACTGTGCGCCAAGCTCTCGTGCTCGACGAACAGCAGCGCTTTGAATCTACCCACTGAAGTTACTCCTTCCGCTTTTGCCGTACAGTTGGGGGAAAGTGATGTCGGGGTTGATTCCCTGTTCCCAGGGCCTGGTTTCGAAGTAAGTGATGTGCCTCCTCTCGCATTTGAACAGATGTGGGCTCTTTTTGCTGACGTCTTCGGTCCCTTTTCTGAAATCCCTGCGCCCCTTTAGGCGTCTGTGCACTTGTTCTATTGCCGCAATTCATCGAGGGTGGTCGTTGTTCAGTCGGAGGACCTTCTCTCTTGATCGGAGACAGTTAGCATTTATGGTGGACTGAATGCTTCGGACCTCCGTTTCAGCTCGAAGTGCCTCGATTGGTGATGGCTGGGCTTGGGTGGTGATCAGTCGCAGACATCTGTTTTGAACCACCTCCAGATTATTTACCAGAGTTTTGCTCAACCACGGTTGCCAGCTGCTGCTCGCAAAGTTGAGGACACTTTGTATATGGGTGAGGTAGACCTTGCATAGGTCGTCTTTCCTGCATCCCCATTTTGAGTGCTCTACAGCGCCGAGCATCATCACCTTCTGTGTGGCCTCAGCTATTACTGTCTCAACCTGTTTCCTGAAAGTGAGCCTGCGGTCGAGTGTGACTCTTGCGTTATGCGTAGGGCTCGTACTTAATTGTCGAATAATTGATGGTGATGTGGGGCTTCCATTCCCAGTCAGATGTTGCGAGTGTGAAAAATGTAGTCTCGCTCTTCGAGCCGTTTGGTGTGAGTTTCCACCGCCTGCTCCAGTCAGCAACGGTGTCCACCGCTCTTAGTGCCAGACTTGTTGTTGTTGTTGGTTCAGTGATGTGTATACTTTGTTCACGTTGTGTTGTTGTTGTTGTTGTTGTTGTTGTTGTTGTAGTTGTTGTTGTTGTTGTTGTTGTTGTTGTTGTTGTTGTTGTTGTTGTTGTTTATTGTTGTTGTTGTCGTTGTTGTTGTAGTTTGTTCAGTGATGTGTATTCTTTGTCCACGTTGTTGTTTTTGTTGTTGTTTTGTGCGTGTGTTTTTTTAACCTTGCCCAATGCTATCATCTGGCACTGTTGTGTTTAGTAATAACAACAAACTGTGCAGCATTTTGGGTTTTGAAATTAGCTGTTAGTCTTAGAGTAAACACACAGGAAAATATTTTACTATCGATATAAATAAATACATTAACAAATAAGTAAATACATATGTTTCTTCACTCTTATAACGTTTTTTGGTAAGTTTCACATCTAAGTGTGGCCATACCCCCAACTGGAGATGGCTACCACATCTGGTTAGTAGTTAATTGTTAAGATCATGTTAGTCCTACATTCCTCAGCTCTTTCAAGTCTCGAGGTGGGGACCCTCTGTCCCGCTCCCTAGTGGAGTCATCTTTATAGTGCCACCGAAGGTTCGGAAAGTTTGCACGAAGTCTCATACTATGGTGGTGACTTTGTCAGTATTTTTTTTTGTCTCGTGTCCTGATTTTTGTGCCGATATTTGTTGTTTACGTAAGAATGTACAGACATGGTGTAACTTGTTATGTTTTCTAGAGACACGAAATGATCGGTAATGATGATGATGATGATGATGATGATGATGATGATGATGATGATGATGATGATGATGATGATGGTGATGGTGACGGTGACGATAATGGTAATTGTGATGGTGATCATGAGGATGATTATTTATGTTGGCGATGATGATGTTCTGATGTTGGAAATGACGTGCATATTAGTCTTAGTGTTACGTTTGTTTGATGCTTACTCTAGATCCCCGCCAGGCTGTCCTGGGGGGCAGGACACAACCCTCATTCCCAACTCCTCGCACAGAGTTACCAAATATTTGAAAATAATTCATCATCTTCATCCCTAGCAGTTAATAAAAGTATGCCAAATAATCACATGGGGCCGCTTCTAAGTGATGACATTGTTAGTGTGTTTGTTACCCTACGTCTATACAATCATATTTTAAAAACAGTGAAGGGAGTGAGGCCAATAATCTTTGTAATATTAATTTTCATAGTCAAAGCAGACTAACATGTGTGCATACAAGTTATCGCCATCGTCGTTCGCAACCGGTCCGGAGGCGCTTCTGTGATCGTCAGAGCATGTAAAAAGCCTGAAAAACCATGCCCAGACGACCACAGAATTACAGAATCACTTTGTCAGTATTAGTACCTAAACTACTGGGCCAAGACGAGTTTGTAGGAGGGAACAGACAGAGATACAAATTTTGCTTGTATGAGGGTAGTGTGTTTGTGTTTGCCTCAGCATGTTTTGTCTTTTCTTAATATATGTGCACTTGCGTTGATGTTAGTCGGACATATCCTGTTTAGTATTCATTTATCTCACGGATTATTTTCAACCGGATTGCTTATCGAAAATAATAAGAACCACGACTTGTGGGTTGACCTGTTGGACGACTCACCGTCCCGGGGCGATTGGAGTCATCACAATACAATGAATCCACTTTACCCGGGGGAAGCCCCCCTATACTTCCTAACAGTACAGCCCTCCCCAGTTCAACCTTGCATGCTACCTGTTAAACACAAATTTAGAAAAATAAAATAATAGTAATGAATAATTTTTAAAAACATTTTTTATACACTGCAAGCAAAAACAAGACAAATAATAATAATAAATGAATAAAATACCATCTGACCCGTTGAGTACTCCAAAAGTAGTAATAACACGGGTGTTGTTGTTGTTGTTGGTGGTGGTGGTGGAGGTGGTTCAGGGACGTACATACTTTGGGCCTTACTGTCCGTATTGTTGTTATTTGTTTAGTAACGTGTACCCTTTGTGCCTTTAGTCTGTGGGTGGTTGGTGGGTGCTCTGGTGTGGTTTGCTCCTTCTTTCCTATCAGCCTGATTTCCTGTAAAGACTTCTCTGTTGGCATCCACCCCTTGGCACTCATATGGCCTTATGCCGTTTTTAGTGCTGTAAAGCCTCTCCTAAAACAAATTCCTTCCTATCAAACATCCTTCGGTTGTTGAATTAAAAGGCAGGGATTTGTTTCGGCTCCCTCTCTTTCGGGCTGTCACTCGGATTGAAAAATTCAGATACAAAACGTCCTGAGATTTAAGCACACGACATCTGCTGTCTTGCTTGCCTTACAAGTTTGAACTTACAATCTGTGCATTTAGTCGTCAAAAGTAGTTTATAGTACTCTTCAAGACTGAAGGCTGTGGGGAAAAGATCTATAACGTACTACAGTGTTTTCTTTCTGTTGGTCAGCATGTTTCTCTGCTGTAGGCTTAAAAATCCAACTAACTGGCATAACATTTGTCCGGCAAATATGAGGTTAGATTGGGAGCTGAGATTTGTACAAGTTAGACAACAAGTGTCTCTAGGCCAAAGGGAGGGTATTAACATGTTCTTATGCACAGTATAACTGTAAATGGGCTGATGTATCAATGTCATGCTCATACTGTGCTGGAACAACATAGGGGGAACTGCTGCATTTTCTTTCCTCGTCCTTACCATCATCATTTCTCCTCTATTTCTTTTGTATGTTTACCACTCTCTTGTGAACTGCTATTTCTGGGGTCCCTTGATAGTCGAGGCAGATTTTGTGCTGTTGAAGCTAGAGAGGTGAGCAGAGTAAGCATGATTCCCTGTTTGGACTTCTCTGTTGACATCCTCCCCTTGACGCTCATATGACCTAATGCAGTTGTGAACACCGTAACAGCTTACAAAAACTGGAACCAGACCTCAAGTGATGTCATAATTTTATTCTTTTGACAGATATATCTGACATTACTGCTGTCCAGTTGAGATAATGCCGTACACGTCCGTCCTTAAGTGATATCAGTATTGTCCAGTTGAGATAGTTCAGTACAAGTTGGTCCTTAAGTAATGTCACTATTGTCCTGTTGAGATTTAGTACAAGTCTGTGCTCAAGTGATGTCATAATTGTATTTCTTTTCACAGATACATCTGGCGTTACTTCTTACATTCTGAAGAACGTGCTTGGTCATTGGGTCTATGAAGTGACCGTTGAAGTCAAAACCAACGTGGGGGACGCTGCTGTATCAAGTCCACAGACCATTACAACATTCTACAAACGTAAGTTGATGGGAAACTTGTACAACATTCTACAAACGTAAGTTGATGGGAAACTTGTACAACATTATACAAACGTAAGTTGATGGGAAACTTGTACAACATTCTACAAACGTAAGTTGATGGGAAACTTGTCAGGGAAGATGGTACATTTTGTTCTTCGAAAGAAGACATGGGTGAATGCACTAAATCTCATTTCCCTATCAGCGATCTTTGATAAGCCTTGTTGTTCTTACTTCCCCCAGACCCTGGACCTGTTACTGCTCTGACGTTGACAAAGAGTACCCAGGTGGCCTCTGACGTCTCCCTGAGCTTTGGATGTCCCGAGGAAAGAGAAAGAAATGGCGTCATCACTGGCTTTTACATTTCAAAGTCGGATCGCGCTAGGGACCCAGTGAGTACATGTTATGTGTCACAACGCGGTGGAATCAGGCGCTCGTCATTTTCGAGGGGCATATGGAGTTATTGGTATCACCTTAGAGCACGTTTACTTGTTTTTGCTTTTGAGGAAAAAAAAAAACAAATACCCATCTACCTCGAATGAAAGTTGAGATATTTGTGATTGAAGGAGGTGGAGGTTGCCTGGTGTCTGGTGTTAGAGATTTAAATTAAGGAGAAAATGTCTGCCAAAGTTGGTGACTTCCAACTAGAACAGCTGTTTTCATTTTTAAAAAACAAAAAACAAAGAGAGAAATTGACAGTCTTTTTTGTTCTGAGAGACATTACACTGTGCATCGTCAGTATTCATCACGTTGTTTAGGGCGTGTCACACCCTGATACCTCCTTCCACGCACCCCCCCCCCCTCTCTACCCCCACCGCCATCATACCCCCCCCCCCTCATGCACATATTGATGTCCACAACTTTCAACTAAGAAATCTCCTCTGTTCATTCTTCCAGGTTGTTCAGTTTGTCACAGCGACTTCCTGCGAGAGTGTGTTCCGGCCACCTGTACAAGTGGTTGTTGGGGAGAGTTCGACGGATTACACGTTCAAGGTCGGTGCAATTATGGAGTTGGAGAACTGTCTTTGAAAAAAAATAAAGAAACTATAACTACGTATAATAGATATACCATTTGTATAGCAAGCTCGGTGTTTAACAGTTTATTATATATGTAGTACTTCTTTACAATCTATAGAGGGTTAAGGTTACAAGTCTGTGGTGTATGCAAAAGGGATAGTTGGAGCCTCTCAAAACCCAGTATCACAACAGACAGTCAAGAACATCATCAAATACAACACCTGGGAAAATGGCTGAATGAATGGGCTATGGGCAAAGCTGGAAGAGCTGTATTTGCTGCACACATGACTGCTCCCAACTCAAAAGATACACTACATTCCCCGAGTAGAAGAGAACAAGTCATAATCTTTCGCCAGTGAGAACAACACATCTCATTGAAGTCCTGCCTAAATAGGATCCGTAAGGATACCCCAACTGATTGCCTGTTGTGTGACTGCCATGATGAAACAGTATCACACAACCTCTTTACCTGCCCTGCACTTAGCGACCTGTGTAGTACTTACCTACCTGCCTCTCCAGACATCCGAAAAACTTTATACAGCAACAAAAGGCAGCTGATAAACACCAGTAAATTCTTTGACATTTCGACAGGCCGACGGGTTAGATCTGAAATAGTCGCTGGATCGGAAATATAAAGTAAAGTAAAAGTTTAACCCTATCCGTACGCCCTGGGGTCATTTTGTACCTCTGGGGTTGTTTTCTTTACATTTTAGAATACTTCTAGTACAAAGACCTCTTTGAAACTTTCAGTATTTCTCAAAAAAATCATTTTGACAGTCTGCTACTCAAAGCGTACGCATCGGATAAACGAGTAAGTTTCATCTTTGGAAAGTGGTGGCACAGAGTTCCCCACGTCGTATGGATACGATAGTAAAACACGACGTACGGATAGGGTTAAAAAAGGGGAGCCTCCTTTCCAGGCGGGCCCCAGTGTTCCCACTTTCCTAATCTATCCCTGAATGCCATAACGCTTGAACTAAGACTAACATCTGATCTCATGCTCTCACTCTTAACATTGATTTTTTTCAGGTGATGGCTTCAAATGGACAGTATAACAGCAGCTATGCGACGTCAGATATTATGATAAGCCCCCTGCGTAAGTCAATTCAGTCGGAAATTAGTATTCTTTTCAAAGTTGCCTATTGTAATACAACCCTCTGTGGTAATGTGTACTGTGGTAATGTGTACTGTGGTAATGTGTACTGTGGTAATGTGTACTGTGGTAATGTGTTGTACTGTGGGAATGTGTACTGTGGGAATGTGTACTGTGAAAATGTGTTGTACTGTGATAGTGTGTACTGTGGTAATGTGTTGTACTGTGGGAATGTGTACTGTGGTAATGTGTACTGCAGTAATGTGTTGTACTGTGATAGTGTGTACTGTGTAATGTGTACTGTGGTAATGTGTTGTACTGTGGTAATGTGTACTGTGTACTGTGGGAATGTGTACTGTGGGAATGTGTACTGTGATAATGTGTTGTACTGTGATAGTGTGTACTGTGTAATGTGTACTGTGGTAATGTGTTGTATTGTGGTAATGTGTACTGTGTACTGTCGTAATGTGTACTGTGGGAATGTGTACTGTGGGAATGTGTACTGTGGTAATGTGTACTTTGGGAATGTCTGCTGTCACCCTCTGTGCCATCGTGATAGGTTCAAGTGTTTCTCACAGCTCTTGCTACTGTGGTTAGTTGAGAAATGTACATTCAAATTTGGATTCACGATTACCTAGAGATATACAGCAAAAAGAACAGCAGGTAGAATCACTAGGTAGTATCAAATATACTGGTGTGTAATCAGAATATTGTATTCTGTATCCATTTTGATAAAATGCTAACTTGTTTGTTGCTCTTATCTTTATGGTTGGTGCTTGTTTAATAATTCGTAAGGCATTGTGTTTGTTGACTACATTTGATAATTTTGAGAGTAGATGATTCTCTCTCTCTCTCTCTCTCTCTCTCTCTCTCTCTCTCTCTCTCTCTCTCTCTCTCTCTC